TGATGTATGATACTGATGCTGCCTGGAAATACAAGTATCTGAGTATCATTAGATTTCAGAAGAAACTCCTGCACAGGTCCAGTTGACAGGCAGATACACTGAGGTCATCTTAAAGAAACATGTCTGACGCATGACTTCATAAAACCACATCAATACAAGTACTACTGGTTACAGCGTCTCCATCGAAGAGCAGGACAACCAGCGGCAGACAGAGACAACCACAGGTGAGAAGATCAGTGACATCATCACCACAGGAGTGCACGTCACGTATGTACTGAGTGTGCACGTGTCACTGATGCAGGTTCAATGAGCAGCAGCCCGTCGGTCACTACCATCTGTACCACGCTCAGCTGGACGTCTTTGAGAGGAGGAACGAGGAGGACGCTGCTCCTCCTGAGAGACAGCGGCGATGTGAAGACCACGCCCCTCGTCCTGCGGAGCCGTATCAGCTGTGAGTGAAACATTATTGATTCGTCTGTTGGTTGATTGTTGATGGTGAATATGTTTCTTGTGTTTGTGTCCAGATCATAACGACTCCTCTGAACTCTTTACACCAGAGTCGTGTTTATCTGAAACACGTTTGTATGGTAGCATCAGCATTGGACAAATGTTTTTTAAATAATCAAGCAGCTGGTTAGCCTAGCCTAGCTTAGCTTAGGGCAAACAGTAAACTCACTGATCACATTGTATCAGGTTAGTTTCATAAGTGTTAAACGGGGTCTTTATGCTAAGCTAAAGCTAATGACTGGGGGACAGCGTGACGTCAGCAGTGTGTTTGTTCCTCAGCGTGGCGAGAGCTCGTCATGAATACCTGCAGAGGAGACTGGAGGCAAACGAGTACAAGCTGAGAGCAGAGAAACAGCTGGTGAGAGGAATCCCCCCACACACACACACACACACACACACACACACACACACACACACACACAGTGTTAACCACCGTGTGAAGGACTCTGGTCTAACAATGTATTTTATGAGCTTATCTGATTTTGCAGTAGAGTCAAAGAATAAAGCAGCTGTACTGAAGTTCGGAGTAAGACTGACAGTCAGAGCAACACGACCTTTGACCTTTCGTCTGCAACTGACAGGGTCTGCGTCCCTGCACAGCCGATCACCACAGGAGGCCTGGAGGTCAGGAGCTGGACGCAGGACGACCCGAGAACCAACACACAGGTCAGGACAGAAGACAGGAAGGACAACAGGTGAGACACATGACAACATCCTGTGACTGATCCTGAGTCATTTTAACCTCCTCACGTAGTCTTTACACTTCATGCTGTGTGTGTGTG